CATAAACACCTTCGGTTCAGAATTCATATCTGGGTTCGGGTTTGCAACTATTGACTTTTTGGTAGACATACATAGGTGTTCTTATGGTAGGAAGGCAATTCCATGTAGGCTAAAACTCCCTGGTGAAAGGTTGGAGAGGAAGTCTGAAAAAGATCGGGATCGAGGAAATTTCGAGACGTAGTTACTTAAGGATCAAGTTATGATTCGATATCTCCCCAGGGCAACCAATCCTTCCATCCCATCGGGAGCACTCAGTTGACACTAGCCTTGTCTGGGAGGATAAAAGCCCTGACTTGTACATCGGCTACATGCAACTCATAGTATAGGCCAACCACGCATTCTCGTCGTCCATGAGGTGCTAGGACGAATGTCGGGGCGCATCCTGGAATTGGATTGATTGAAGACAATGAATTTATCCTTATCCCATATGTAAAGAACATGTTTAAGGTATTCAGAATGGGGAAGGGACGAAGTACTGGTGACTTTATCCTCTCCTACATATCTGTTCAGTGCTTCACAAATCGTGCTTCAGAAGCGACTGGAGGGATCAGACTATTAGACCTATGACGTAAGCTTCCAGCTCTTTCAGGCCGTCATCAGAAAGTGGCTTTTGGGGCGTTTTGTCTTTTATGAGCCAACGTTTAGCACTCCACTGAAAGCCATCTGACATATCGTTACAGATTCAGTGACAAACCACATAAATGAGCTAATTTTTCCATTAATATGAGAAAATCATGAAGAATTTTTTGGATTATGGTAGATATGTTTGAACACGATAGCCCCCTCATCTTCCGAATATACATTAATGATCGGGTTCTGTGACCGGGTCTTGTTAGAAGAGAGCGGCATCAGCTTTTTGCCCTTCCAATCAGCTCATTCATTAGGATTCAGACGCCGATTTCAATCAAACCCGGTGATGATTCCAATCTCGTCGCTTCGCGCTAATTCTGCAGAGTCCCTACTTAATTCAGATGTTACTCAACAATCTATTTTTGGATGTAATCATCTAGAGAGCGTTTGTGCCACATTTTTCGCTCGAACTGTTCATCTTCTTCTTCTTCGAACTTCTCCTCTCTTGGACGATTTTTTTTTTTTTNCATGGTAGGTATGATTGAATACGATAGCCATCACCACTTCATCTTCCGTACATTCATTGATGATCGGGTTCTGTGACCGGGTCTTGTGGGAAGGGAATGCCATCAGCTTTTTGCCCTTCCAATCAGCTCATTCATTAGGATTCAGACGCCGATTCCAATCAAACCCAGTGATGATTCCAATCTCGTCGCTTCGCGCTAATTCTGCAGAGTCCCCACTTAATTCAGATTTTACTCAACAATCTATTTTTAGATGTAATCGTCTAGAGAGCCATTCGTTTGTGCCACATTTTTCGCTCAAACTGTTCATCTTCTTCTTCTTCGAACTTCTCCTCACTTGGACGATTTTTATAGAAAATAACTTTTTACCTCAAGTAATGGCTATTTGTCAATCGTAAAGCAAGGAATGTAAACAAACAACATGAATGTAACACAGCTGGACGGAGGGAACTGGCAAAAAGATCAAGTTATCCCATTAATCTTCGATTGGGCCAGCTTGAGGGTCAACACCCTGACGAAAATCAGGAGGGTACTCATTATGCCGGAGCTTTCTGTTGTCCACTTCATCTTAGATTTCTCCAATGCTGCTCTTAGCACTTGGAACGAACTTTCTTGCAATGTGAGATAACTTCCGCCAGAAAGGAAGAGATGGGCTTCATTGGGTGGGTGGGGGTTGGAGGGAGGTTGCAACAGCATTTTCTTTCTTGCCCGGAGACTCAGCTCTACAGCCTTTTAACCTTCAACCCCCATCCAATCGACCCTTTTTGCCGATTCCCATGTTCACCGTCGTCTGCCCCGTCGAATGGCTTTCCTCGGCGGAATCCTTTTAAGAATTTTTCCAACGACGTCTCTCGATTTAGTAGTTGTCAAAGTCCAGAACCATAACGGCCAAGGTCCACTTCAACTCTTTTGAAAGCTCTGATAGCATGGGAAACGATCTCGCAGTATCAACCCCTATGGACATGTTATAATGTTTTTGCGAATTCCTATCTGGCATGCCGATGGAGAGCATCGGCCCATAGACGCATGTCCTGGATGATGAACGCTGCTGTAATAAAAAGAAAAAAGACCAATTCTGCACGTAGATAGAAAATGGCAAGGGAAATCATGAAAAGTAAGATCATAAAAAGGGGGAATCTTAAAATTCGCTGTTGCTTTAATCTCGGTATAGTTGTTTGGGATTATAGAATTCTTCTGCCTTTAGAGATTTTCCGGTAAACCTATTTATTAATTCAACGGCGTGACACTTCGACGTAATTGCCTTCTTCAGAGGCCTAAATGCAACTCGAGATGCATCTCGCACGTTATCCAACAAGGGTTCTACCGCTCCAGCTAACTGAAGAAGAAATGGAGAACAATTTGAAAAATCACCCACCGAAGTTCAACCCCTCAAGCGGACAGACTCCTTTGTCGTCACAGGAAACTGTCAGTAGCGTACAAGGGTTCGTGCTGCCTCCCTTATACTTGTGGTAGAGGAAACCCCGTTATAATGCTACTGATTCGCAACTCATCGTGCGGTTTATATGGCAACCCCTCGAAAATAGGGAGTTTCAGGAAGGGCTCTGAAAAAGTATATATCATTTACACATCTTCGTTTACATACATGTGACATTACACCGTCTGTTAGTGCTCCGTTCTTACCATTAGACTGGAAAATAGCTTATTTGGGGAATTCCAGTATTTTAAACACTAGCATTCTTCTTTACTTCTATTAGGGATGAGGATAATATGCGGATATGAATTCCAGGCATGGGAAAGCTGTATTGCTCCAATTTTTAGAGCTCCCCTTCTCATATTTGAAAATTAAAAGCAAAAGGGAAGTAACTCAAGATGAACTGCCTATCTTTCCCAATTATACTTGGCAACACGTTCAAGCCTTTCTTCTTTCTGACTTCGTATAGTTGGTAGCACAGCTATGATAGAAATCTGCGATAATCGCCTTACTGTCGAGGTAATTCTCTCATCTGTCCTCTTATGGGGTCAGTCCAAATGACCCCATATCTCAAAGAGGATAGAAGAAAGAATTCCTTTTTCCTCTACTAAGTAATATGAATTCTTTGGTCAGACAGATGAGTATTCACTGATAAGCATTTGGGTAATTGTTCTGGCCTGTCAATTCCACGTGGGATGTCGGTATACCTGTGTTCACGAACTTGGGCATTATATGACCCCAATTGTGGGCATCGAAGCCGAAGGTTTGTGATACGGTCAGCTTCTAGGAAGTTGTGTTCTGGGCTTACCAACCTTTTTGATTTTTTGGTACTACTAGTTCAATCATTTTTTGGTTTTTAGCTGGCCCAAGGAGTTTCGACTAAAAAAGAACCCTTGATCAGTCAAGACCTTACAACTGCTTTTAAACGAACATTCCGACCCTGTCGTCTTCTTCAAAGCCTCAGATGAAGTAGAAGAGCCGATGACTGAAACGCCAGCCGAATGGAAACTGCAGCATTTTGTCCGAGGCTTTACAATAAAACCTATGACATCCATATATCATGCCAAAGTTCACTACGATTCGAACATGGATTGCAGTTAATGTTAATTTCTATGAAATGGGTGAGCTAACAATATGGCCCACCTTTCTTATTGGATGCCACTATCCTTTTCTGGAGTGCTCTGTTTTCAAGTAAACGAAGTTCCGTTATTTCCTTCCCACGATCTTCCCATGAGATGTGAATTGTTCGTTTTTCCTTTCCCGATCCAATTCCCCTTATCAGTTTCATATTTCTCTAAATTTGATTGTCGACAGCAGCTCAATTTATCGCTCATATTTCATGCTATTGGACACCACTCAAACGCAATAAATAATACAGTGAGGTCATTAATATCGAAGGGATAACTACGACTCTTCATAGAAGTCGAAAGACTCCAACTTTTTTCAAAAATCGCCCTACTATTAGGTCGAATCGTTTCCTGAAGGCCTGGCCACCGAATATCTATTTCCCAAGAAATGGAAGGCTAGGTCACTCGAGTTGAAATCCGGGCGACCAAGCAGGCGCGTATGGGAGGTGATTATTTGTGCTATCTAGTGTAATATGTTGGCTATGACCGGACTTATACTCATAGTAACCCCCAGAAAGTTCACAAATCAGGCGCAGCCGCTGAATTTGAATTTTAGTGGTGATGATGGTGTACTTCTAAGGTGCATATCTACAGTGTTGAACTCTTAGATTTCAAAAAAAACCTTCGTCGCTCTGTCCTTCGGTCTTCGAAGATCATCGTCGTCATTGTCTGTTTCTTTGCCCTTTATTTAGAAATGAGATTTCAGATACAGCAGCTCTCACTCACGGTCTGGGTGACATATTTATCCACTTCTTCCTCGTTCACCATGTGTTTTGCCCTGAATTTGCTTCTAGTTTCTATCGCTTACAGGCTGCCTGTGAGTTTTTTCCGAAGTTTTCTGATGTTTTTGAGCAGTAGGGCTGATATGATGTAGTGGTAAGCGGCCACTACACCACCCCATTCGCATTGCCATTGAATTCGAACCGAATCTTGCCCAGCCTAGATAGTTTTCCACTCCTTTGGGGAGTTCTACCTTTAACGGACATGTCTGGGAGGACTGAATCTCTGATTTGTGCACCGGCTACCTACAGCAAACCGTTGGGTATCCACATATCCACGATTTGAAATGCCAATACGATTCCGGATGGAAGTCGAATGAGGAATTACATTTTCGAAAAACAGGATTGCTCTTCTTCCTCAAAAACGTTCCTTCTCTTACCCTTTTATAATGTCTTTTATCTCTTATAAAACCTCGTTTAGCTCATAACCATATGCACTGAATGCATTGTCATCCATCCATAGTAATGGTAGTTATAAACGATGCATAAGAGGTCCCCTCGAACTTGAAGACAATGTAAGATACGTTTCTGCAAAGTCCTGTAGACCTTGAGATGGACATCGGGAGTGATGGCTGAGTGTGACGGCATCTTTGATGTCTCAGCAGGTGTTAGGATTGACACAGACCTCCGCCTTCGCCTTACTCTGCAAAAAACAATCCAAGTTAATCATGCCGTTCACCCATAGAATCCAAGTTCTCCAAGAAGTGATGAGAGCAAAGATGCCCCCCCCCCCCTAAAAAGCCTTGGGGTAGTGCTAGCACACCTCCAAATTTCACTGAATCTTTCATTTTCTTTCTTTCTAAATTTTATTTGGGAGACCTTCGAGAGAATCTCCATGCTAAGGGACTTCTTCCTAACAATGCCCTTCATCTTTATCGTTGGAGTGGTGTTTATTCATCTTTGAGAACAAAGAAATATGTATTGATGATGATACTGCTTTTTATAGGTCATAGAATCGTTTACCTTCGATGCGACCTCATGTGGAGAAACCAAGGAATGTTTCATATACAAGGATGGCCTGGCTTTCTCCTACCATGTAGTCTCACCAAGCTTCATTGACATAGAATTGAAGTCGCAGGCAAACGATACAGATCGATTTGTTGCTGTCACATTCGCTAACGATGGCAGAACGGTAGGTTATGATATCTTCTATGTCATTGCTTCTACCAGGTGGGGTTTCCGAAAAGAAATTGGAGGAGGAAGGGGAAAACTACTGGCAGAATTGGGAATATAAAAGGTCATCGTAGACTATCCGAACCTGTCCCCTACGAAAACTCAGGGTTTCGAAAATTTCTAGCTCCTTTAGTGGTTTGAAATTCAAGGTTGGAGTAGGGCTTTCTTTTTCCCTTTTTGTCAATAGACTAATCAGACTTTATCAACCGTCAAAGCTACTCAACATTTCAGCCATCAATCGAATGTTCAGCTGTCAATGGGCAGCCACCTACCCTCCAGGTTCCAGGTGTAGATGACACTCTAGAAAATCTACAAAAACCTGGGATTTCCGTAAGTGAATTCTGTCTAATAGTGTAACTCCCGCATCATAGACGCTGTTCGAATTTTCCGTTAGTTCCCATTCATTGACTGGAAAGAAATCTGTTTTTAGAAACTCTTACTACGACCTTTAAAAGCTAATACTTCCGTGATCTGCAGTAGTCCATGTTTCCCTCCCTTTGATCCAATGGGCGACTGCCATCATCTCCTTTCCGCCGTTACCTTGTGGCCCAGGGTCCACCGACTATTGTACAAGTCACAGCACCGTATACCGCACTGCTCATGTGCACCGTGAAAATCACTGACAGTCAGATCAAGAGAACCACCACTCTGTTTTCCCTGAGGCAATCTCTTGCAGCCTGTCCTTTCTCACTCACTGATGTTTACTAACAGTGCGAACAGTAACAGATACGGTTCTGATCTTAACTAGTCGCAATTGAGGGAATCGTCTCAAAGGCCAAGTCCACCCTCCATATGCTGGACTCCCGTCCACTCTTAAAGCATGAATAGAAGGAGCCAGAGCGGCTGAAAATATGATCCCCCTTCATTCATAGCCTTTGGGTGGGTGCCAGCCCACCTGATGCCCTTTTCTCCTTTTTTTTCAAGAACGATTTCGTGCACAGGCGACACAGTGAGAATATGAATTTTTCTCATTTTGGACATATTAGTAGTATTGACGTTAGAAGGCATGAGGTTTAGGGTCGATCCGTTAGGAATTTGCTCCTGTGCCCTGCTCTTAACAGATTTCCGCAAATTGGGGAGCAGGAAATAGGGCTCGTAGAAGCATGTCCTGAGCGCCGTCAGCTTACCCATTACGGGAATTGGGTCTTCCAGCACCCGGGGTTAAGTGCAGCCATTGCTGGTGATAAAGCTGAACGTTGATAAATAAATCGGAAAGGCCCGTGTTATCTTCACTTCAAGCTGACTGCCGTGAACGAACCTAGCGCAATTCGTATGCCCCGCCGCTGACCTCGCTATATCGGATAACCATTTCAAGTCGCCGTATAGACAAAAAAAATACTCATTAACACTGACACTGTGGTTCTGAATAGATGTCAAATTACCTTTTTCAGGCGTTTCGAGAGCTGTATTTCACCAATGTGACGGCATCATTGCAGAATGACACTCTGTACTGTAGTGGACGGGTACTTGTTACAGCACAAAATAATCCAGAGGTGAGTTACCTGAACACCATCAACTCAAGGGTGCGTTGGAAGTACTCAAGCGTTGAATGAGTACAGCAGCCGTTGCCCGGAAATTCGTTTTAAGTATATCTCACAGAAGGCAGAGCTGTGATGTGGTGCTAAGTAACGCCCTATCACACTTATGTTCCTCTGATTGAATCCCGACAGGTACCCATTCATCCCAGCCAGGCAATTCACCATCATTATCCTCCCGAAGAGAGGGCCAATTACTCGGCCTTGGGGGCGAGTAAACAGCACCAGACTCTTTGGGAGGGTGAAATGCATGGACTTGCCCATCAGATGCTCCCAAAGCCCAAGTCATTCATTGTGTAGGTCACATACACTTTCAAACGTCAACCCGATTCTGAGCGGAAGTCGAATGCGTGGGCGCTTCCCAAAACCGTGACTGATGAATTTCGTAGACTTTATCTTTTCAAACTCCCTCTCACAAAGTAAATGGCGATCAAGACTTCCAGTACGGTAACGGATTAAGGATACATGACGCTAAAGCGAATACTCAGAGCTTCATGTCATAAATACTCTACTATTTCAGTTCTTGACCTACAACCCATCAAGGAACTATGTGATTACGCTCGAATCTGGTATCATCAACGGAGGTGAGTACTGGAAGATTCGCTTCATGTAACGGTAGAGCTGAATGGTAAAACTGTACAACGACACTGTCGAAGGCATAAGAAGGGCAGGGAGAGAGATAGAACTGAAAATGGACAAAGAATATGTGGGACCGAGGTCGCAGGGTTATAGGGATCTTTTCTCCTTATCGAGTGTCTATTCGCTGAAGCGTGGGAAGGTGGAAGATCAGAATAACTTGGTATAGTGGCGTGAAGCGATTTGGAAAAAGCTGTCCGCAAGAGTGCTTTCGAAAATTCGTGGGACTCTATGCGGGATGGAGGACAAGAAGAACGCGTTGGACATGTTTCTTCGATATTTAGTTATAGGCTTTGAGTTGATGGAAACGTTAGGAGCCTGTTTGGGGTCGTTTGGGTAAAGGGCTGTTTTGATTACTGATCCCCTCCCATTTGCACCATCTCACCACTCGTCCTCTAATTTTAATAGTAATTGAGCAGTAACGTGGAACGGTTAAGTAGACTCCTAAATATTTGCGACCAAAGTATGCATCAACTTCAAAATTGCCTCTTTGCCAGGTACCAGAATCACGACAACGGAGTCACATACGTCTTCACCCTTACTACTGGATCCCGTGAAGCCAATCACCACCGCCTCCAGTGGTTTAGATGTTACCATCAGACACCGGCTGAATAAAGCACATGGTAGGTGGTCTCTCTAATCATCTCGTATTTTTTGAAATAGACAACCATAAATCAGGGATGATTGGTACAATTTTTGCTTATCGTAGCACAAATTGAACCATAATTAATGTGAAAATTGTGATATCCTATCAAAAATATTTTTATGATGTGGCCATGTCCAGAAAGTACTTTGCAAAAGAATAGAGGCTGCACCTTAAGCTGAAAGATGACGATCCAACACATAGTCATAGTGTAAACCAGAACCATTAGGTTTTCCCGAACAGCAGGAGACAGGGAAATCCAAGGCATCGTCTCTAAAATACTCTGGTTTTCCAGCAATCTTGATGGTTCTTTCATGGCTATTTTTCGTTCCGACCGCTGTGCTGTTCGCTCGATTTCTCAGGGATTTCTGGTCTGGCACGAAACCGGGAGGCCTATGCGTCTGGTACCACGTAAGTTCTCAAGTTTTTTGGAGTTTTGGACTAATAAGTTGAAAGCTCGAAATTGCTTGCGCTATAGAATAGGTATTGATTTCATGCGCGTCTAATCGATACCGTAGTGTGTCATCCACGGTTCGGGCGTGCTCAGAGTGTAACACTCCATTAGCTAGAGGGGTAGCTTCTAAACTTACGCGGTAACAAGTATATCACCTGTATCGTCTGTCACCCTTTGACCATCCATTCACTCGACGCCTGTACGTCTTCATTCCTCCCTGTCACGAGCCAAAATATGTAGTGCACGGGAACTCCTCGTTCTAGGAACAGGGGACATGCCAATCCTTCGGTCTTGGGCGTTAGTCTGAATACCGCACTGGTAGCCGTCCTGGTGCTCGTTCGAGTTCAAGAGTCACTAAATAGGTTAAATACTAAGTATTGTAGAAGAACAGATCTTCGAAGCAGAAAAAAGTGGAGAACGGAAAGCATCTTTTAATAAAAATATTTTTTAGTATACAATAAATATGTTTAGGCACATCGTACTTGCAACTTCATTGCAGTTGTTCTAATGATCGCTTCATTCATTTGCATTATGATATCCAAAGGCTGGACATGGACTGGGCCAGGTTAGGGTTGCCACTGAAGAGTTGAAATTTAGTAGTTTCGGTATTTAAAATGATAATAATTTAGGATCTAAAAGTAAATACTATACAAAGGTTCACACATTAACAGGACTATTAGCTTTGATACTGGCCTGGTTACAGCCATTGATCAGCCTTGTGAGGTAAGTGTAATGAAAGAACTTCTCAATGAAGTCCCTCGTTTTTCCTACTTCGGCGGAATAACCCTTTCTTATCGATCTTTGGGATTGAGTAAAATCACAAAAAGGCTCTCCTCTCCAGCAATCTTCGAATTGTCTTGTTCCAGATGTTCTCCGAGTGATCGCCGTCGACCACTGTTCAACTGGGTGCATCGTCTGATTGCAGTTGTCGCTTTTGCGCTAGCAAGTAAGTGTTATCTGCAATGGAGGAATTCAAAGGGGCTAAGGAATATAAGTTCCGAGAAAGGTTGGAGGCCCGAAAACTTTGTTAGTGCCTCCGTCCTAAGAAGTCTGGGTCGAGTGCAATGCGCAAGAGACTGATAGGAATTTATTATTTCTCTGCAGTTTACTGAGAGCTGCATGGGCTCCAGCGATTACTACAACCTGTCCATTTTGTCTTTCACAAAAGCCTCTACGACAGCCACTATGTTCGATGTTCTGTACCGTGAATTCTCTTCTTTTCTACTCGACTAGCTTTTCGTCTTTACCTTGCTTTGGAGGATCCTTGAACATTCAAATTCACTCATGCGAATCAGTGCCTTACTTCATTTAACTGCATGTGACCCCTGGCGTCACCCGCTCTGAAAGTCTCAAGCATAATCTGTCAATGTGGGAGACAAGAGCAGTGGGTATTACGCAGTGGCAGAGGTGTGGTAAGATGAATTAACTAGAGACTTACTACCCATTCCCACTGCTGAATGGCCAACCACACTGCAGCATCCCTGACAATCAGTACGGTGGTTATATCACAAGCAGACTAGGCTTTTACTGTTCGAAAGGAGCCTATGTGTACTACAAGTCCGAATCAGTCTTTTCAATCAGCAGGCGTTACTTTCACAAATGTAACACTATGATATACTCTTTCAGCGACAGCCTTCGCTGTGGCGGCGTTGGAGTTCCGTATATGGCCCCAGCACATGCTTCAGTTAGTACTTGTGCTTTCACCAGCCTTGCTTCTGATTGCACTCACCGTAACGTTTTTCCTCGTGGAAAACGTCATCGACTTTGATGAGGCCAGTTACGCTTCGGTAAGTACCACCTCTCAAATTCGCTTCTGCAATTGTGCCTTTTTTGGTTTTATTAGCCTCATATTATGTTTGTTCTATGATCAATCATTCGTAAGCTTCGAAATTTTTCTCAGATCCAGTCTATCCGGTTTTCGATAATTTTCTGGACCATCGGCATCCTGTTGGGACTTTGTATATGGATGACAGTGCTATTGGCCAATGGCTATCCTAATTGAGATAGGTACATAATTTCAAGTATTGGCAGTTGGCTGAACTGAAAACGTTAGAGAAATCAGCGACTCATTGAGACCGCTGACATACTACTCTTCATTAAAAAAAATATCAGTCGTGTTGTGAAAAAAAATTCGCTATTAATGCCGGAAAAATCATCTCGGCTGTGTTTTGTCTTGGCAGTAACCTTGGAATTTTGTTTCTTCCCACAAGTTGTCCTTTCCATAGTGAGCGTTAGAGCTTTCCTCGTTGACGATGGAAGAGGCATTAAATAACTAGTCGAATCTCTTTTGTTCATAGTGAGCTACTACCTTTGTCGGCGTTTTAAAAGTCCTTTTGACTTCGTCCTTACTTAAAGACACAGTTCATGATAAAAATGGTCTCAGAGATTTCCCTATGGATTGAATTCTAGGGCCCTCGTATACCATATGCTGCGCTATCAGGATGGAAAACGGCCTTATTAGGGTGTTATAAAGGCCCAGAGATTGTCCCGCGTGTATGCGCGGACGAGTTCCGCTGGCATTGAAGCAGCTGCACCGTTCACAGGGGAACCCATGTAGGAACTTCAAACAGCTTGTCATGACCCACAGCGACAGTGAGAGGCAGTTCTGTACCGTTCTGGCTTGATGTAGCCAGCTCTCTGTGCAATTGAAATAACTGCAATCTCGTCCGGATACCCCTCCCATGTTATTTCTTCATGGCAATCTCGTCCAATCTTTATTTTTACTTGTGAGGAGCCTTACATCCCTCGAAATTGGCGAATTTTCTCGCTTTCTTCACTACCGATGAACTTTTTCCAATCTATACTGCCGCTTTTTGAATTAAAAGGGGTACCTCAAAATTATCGTGAACTGTGCCTTTAAAAGAACGCAAATGACGTTGAGTTCTTCAACTTCCCTGAACAGCAAACCGAGGCCTCATGTTTCTTAGAATATTCTTTTCAGCTTTTCTTTGGACTAGGACCTCCTTGATCCCTGTCTCTGCTATGCTTGTTAGGTGTTACACTTCAATACGCTCCAATTCTCTCTTTGCAGCCTTCACCGGAGCAGGAATTTCTCTTCCCATAATCATCATTTCATTTTCATACGCTCTTCCCAAAACACCTCTTACGATTACTCCATGCACATCATGAAAACCTCAACTGAGCAGTTTCAGGCATAATTTCAATGAGCGCCGTCATTGGAGGATAAGCATGATGTGTAAGAAGCCCCGTACCATCAAAACTGTAAGTGCTGCTTCGTCCAACACATATTGAATTCTGTCGTAGCAGTTCTTGTTTATTCCTTCGCCAAATTAGCTGATTGCTAGCAATTCTGGCATCCATATAAAAGTAAGATCTTAAATATAATGCGTGACAATATATCTACATATTGTAATGCTTGCTCCCCATGCCTCGGTCTCCTTGGCGTTGTCTGGAGAGCAGTCACAGACTTTGCTTCATCTATCTTCTCTACCAATCATTTCTATCAGGGCAAATGACTTTTTATCAGATCGCCTTCCTCTGCATGCAAAATATGTGCTCTACAGGTGTGACTATGTTTGACTGTGCTGTATTTATTGAAGGTTCCGCATTCGATTATGTTGGACAGGCTCATCTCTGATTCTATCCTTAATTGTTAGAATTTGGTGCTGTTGTTATGTATATATTTATTAAATATGCTTCAACGAGATGTCTTGACCAAATTTTCAAGCGCTGGTGGCTTCTTCATTCTACAAATCTTTGTAGTAGTGCTCTCCACACTGGTGTGACCCATTGAAACGAGCCATAGAAAGTGTGAATCTAAGGAGAACTCTGCATGGGGAGGCGGTCGTTTTGCGCGGTTCCTCCCGTCGCGTCACCATCAGACGCGGTTTGCGAGCTGGACAACTTCGGGCAACTCACTGCCTCCCCACCTGGTAGCATCCCGATCTATGACGCCGCTAGTATTAGGAGCCGAATTGCGGACTTGCTTGTATTCTGCCTGTCTACTTCGTCTATTTGGCTTTTTCATAGTGCTTGGACGAGTTGTCCAGCTCGCAAACCGCTTCGAAAGAACGACGCGATGGGAGGGATCGCGCCGAACAACATACATCCCTTTGCGTGCATGCTAGACACAAAAGCACAATCTAGGTGATTTATTGGTGCCTCTTCCAAGCTCAACAACAAAACAGTGTATTACTTTACAAGAAAACACAAAAATACAAAAATTCGCTGACCATAAGACTTCTAAAAACTAAACAAAAAAGTGGGTTTAACCAAATCATTAAGATCGAGGTAGCCTTTTTCAAATTGAAAAGCAGGTGTTGGCGGAGAATAGAGGTTGTACGGGAACACCATGACCGAATGGCATTCGAAGGGCATTTGAACAATATATTAAGAGTTGCGATTGCATAAATGCGTTGTTTATATAGGTCATTACGATAGTTTGGGGGTATCTGGTTCAAAATGTCTAACGGAAGTAATAGTCCAAAGTGGTGCAGAGAGCGGAAGAAAGCCTGAAATATGTGCATTTAGTGGAATATTGAGTTTCAAATAAGTAGTAAAATTAGGGTTTGGACGAGAATGTATCGACAAAAGTTGCATAGAGAATATTTTTGGACGAGCTCTCCAAATGTGTGTGCCATTGCATGCAGCTGGCTAGAGTCACCTGCCTGCGTGTAATGTGCGCAAACTCTAGTCTTAACAACGCCCTTAAAACTCGTCCGTCTTCGGTGTGTACGTTGGCTGAGCCGGTTTTGGGACCCTCAATACGCCGTATCTAGACCGTTTTTCGGTCCGACAGCCTTCTTTGTGTTATCTTTGGGGGTCCCAGGTCACAGCTTTATCCCAGAAAGAAATCGCAGACACATTTTTTTTCGTGGGTTGCCGTGCCTTTGCCTTCGCTGGTCCGTCTATATTAAACCGCTAAACCATCTATTTAATAACGACGTCCCCGACTTATTCCCCTTCTCGCCTCGCCTTGTCGAGAACTCGCTCCCATTTCCGCAGGTCAGATACGACTACGCTAGAGTTTTGCTTATATCTAACCTTTCGTACCATGTTTTTGGTACTTCATACTGCTTCACAGTTAGGTTTGATTGAACAGTCATGGTGTTCCCGTACTGTTGAAACTTTTTGAAGTTTAAAGTTTTATCATAATATGAAATGCCTATTACTCGTTAAAACACCCGAGCAGTGCAGTTACAAAAGAAGAACGAGTCCTTAGCGAAATATGAACCTCTAAAATACCACAAAAAGAAAAAATCAAAAAAAAAAATAGCAATTAGAGAACAAACCAAACAAAGCCGGATCGTTTAAGCAGTACAATGATGAAGAAAGCCCAAACAGTCATCACAAAAACCTATTGAAAGGGCAGACTGCACCAGTAAATACATCAATATGTATCACATTCTAATTCATCAGGCAAATATCAACAAACAAATGGGATATAAGATATAAGACAAATATGGGAAGTTATCTGGGAAACGTACGGTCTTTACAGATATATTTGCATTCTATCACTAAAAAGCGTTTCGTGCCTAAGTGGAATCTTCACTTTCGGTTTCGGATCCACTTTTTGTTGATTTTCTGGTTGGGGTATCGTCGTCAAACGATAGATTCTCCATCATCATATCTAGGTAAGCGGCCGGGACAACAGCATCTTCATCGATATTCAGCCGATCCCGAATCTCTTTCGCACGTGCATAGCACGCTTCCGGTTGTGATGAATTCAGTGTTACCTGTAAACAAATCAACTATGGTACATTCTGAATCTTCCGGAGAAAAAAACGTGACTGCTCATTTCTGTTAATTTGTTTGCTTCACAAAACAAAAGGGGGACAAAAATAGCTGAAAAGAGGGACCCTGTTGAGCTTGACTCTAATGTGGCATCGTGAAGAGACATGAGAAGGGTAGCATAGGTGGACGATCTAGTCAACAATGAAATGCCATCATTGTTATCGAATCTTCATTCATTCAGTAGGGTATGGAGCTCCAAGTCAAGTGGTGGCACGGCGACATTCGCCGGAGTGAGGGTCAGCCAAGAAGATATACTGTGGCGGTGGATCTGTCAAACTATATGATGGCTAACTCGCAGTAGCTACACACCGGGAGTTGCATCAGGGCTAGCTCGCTAGATCCTGAGTTCCAGTACGAGTATAAACCGCGAACTGATCCAAGCTGAAGCAGTAAACACGACCGAAGTTTCGCAGAGAGCAAGGGAACCTCAAATCCTCTCCCACCACTACTAGCGCATTCAACTGGCCTTACTAGGTAGGTGTATGATAGAGCTAATAAGAAAGATCGCTACTTTCTCATAGTTTTTCACTCCATCCCGTGTTGAAGAATACATGGATGTATCCATAGCCAGATCTATGAACTGGTTGACATAGACCAGTGAAACCATAACTGAGACCTACCTCCTCGGAACACCCAGACCTAATATTGGATGTTCTCCGGACACTCGAGAAGCGTAGACGATGAACTAACTGCTTATTGCACACCAAGGAGGGGAAAAGGGAAAAGAAGGTGGTCGTATCTGATCCTTTTTGCATCCTTCAGCGTTATCTTATGTTTCCATTTCATTAAAGCTTCTTCACTTAATAATTCCCCTACCTAAATCATTCGCTTAGTAGGATGGAAGTGCTTTTCGCAAACTATGGAGGGGGAAGGGTAAGTCCCCTACCTAAACTAACCCCCGATATTTACTAGACTAATCAAGAGCAACCCCCGTGATTATTTACAAGACTCGTTTACTTCTTTGATAATAAGTCAGATTGGTCATTTTGTGAACAATGTAGTAACGGAGTCACTTCAGTCACGAGGGGCCGAAACGTAACTTGGAGAACGTCGAAGGATGTCAAGTATATCGTTTCGAAAACTTTGTCGAGACTAATCAAGAGCGATCACCGTTACTATTTACAGGCTCGTTTATCTCTTCAACAACCAATCAGTTTAATAATTATGTGAGCAGCGACGTTATGGAGACACTCCAGTCATGTGCAGCCAACACGTATCTCAGAGGTGTTTTTTCCAACTTTTCGCAAGAGGAACGTCATAAGATGTCATGTGTATTACTTTGAATACTTCGACGACACAGTCAGCTGCTGGGAAAAATCAGAAAAACTGAACCAGTTCCAGTTATCACGAAGTTAAAAGAATGTTCGAAGAAAAAAAGACTACTGAGGCTGTACGGAATCTTCCCCCAAATTCGGAGCTAGATCGATACCAGAGTGCATATCAACTTCAACTGGCCTTCCCCACCACACTCAGAACTAGCCCATTTTAATCGCCTAGACGATTCCCACTGTCATCAACGAAAGAGAACTTTCAGTACAGATAAATTACCGAGTTTTTAGGGAGCATTTTCACATATCTCCGTGATCTCTAAAGAATTGGAAGATACAGTATATACTTACCGCTATATCTATAAACTGTCCAATTTGATCCACATCGTCTAGGTAGATTCGCACGTCGTCCATTGTGAACACTCGACGTTTCTTTGTAATTGTACCACGTTCACCCAGTGCAGCACCCAAAGTTGCCTAAAAAGACTTACTCTGAAGTGAAGCGTACAACAATCACAACGTCATTACGAATGACTAAGCTAAGTAAACAAGGGTTTGAAGAGGCACGTCGTACAGAGGCTGCCTACTATAGCCAGCTGTACGCACGGGCACACACATTTGAACAGCTCGTCCAAATACCCATTTCATGCAACTTTTGGCGTTAACTCTCGTTCAACCCCTAGCTTTACTGCTTTTTTGGAGCCTTACTCGCTAGGTACACCGATTTTCGTGTTTTCGTCGCCATTTGTGCACTATCCTGGACTATTACTTTCATTACTCGTCTTAAACTAAATAACCCAAAATTATCGTGAACAATGCTTTCGAACAAAGTGATTGTCAGCAGACGCATTTCTATTTATAGAATTTATCCGTTTCCAGGTTAATTTTACATTTTTGCTAGTTCAACTGAATCAGGATATACGGACGGCATCAAACTGAGGACTACACAAAACTCTCGAAAACCGTCTTAAGCTCACAGAGAAAACTCTCCGTAATGGGATCACACTCAGTCATGTTTCTGTTGCTTCAAAAAGCGGAAATATATATTTATATTTTTGTATATTTATTACATGAGATGACTCATGCAATGGATTGGTTACAATCACAGAAGATTTCAATCCATCGAAAACCAGAGTCAGCCAAGGCCACTGAAACAACCATGGCATTTGAATATGTTCAGCACGCTTCAGATCCCCCGCTGTTTTGAATCACATATACGTGATGGTATGGGCTAATTGGTGTAAAGGGAAACCAGTTTCCTTTATGGTTTCATTGACTTTCCAGAACCGTTTCGAACATGAACAAGAAGTTACATAAACCGGACAGACTAGATCTCGGCAAGCGGAGGTGAAACCTCGGCCGATCGTCGCGTACCGGCTTGTCTTCTTTTCTTATAACGCAGTCACTTTTTGAAGCAGAACTACATCTGTTTATCGCGATCTCTTCAACGAGAACCATACGGCTGTTTTTAAATAACGAAATAAGATGTCTTCGATACTACACAGCCATGCAAGTCCACTTAATGTCGCCAAAAATTTCAGCGAATCCTGTAAAATCCACAATATATTTCGATTTTGAAGTAGGAAATATATTTGTTTAGAGCACGCCACGACATAGGTGTAAACTATGTGCCAATCTCCTGGACGGTAGAAGAGAATTCTGCGAAATTTAAAGAGTTTGATCGGAAAATCAGGCCCATTTGGAGTCAAGGCCGAGGGTGAATTTCACTTTCACAAGCAGGAACAAAACTATCGTCAAACATGATGTTTTCGGCCTTATGACTCGTTCAATTAGATATGGAAGTTTAAAACTACCAGTATTTAGGCTTTATGCGATATTTGTTAGAAAAATCATCGGGAAAGACTCTTAAAGCTAGCAAGTGCTCAGATAACTTCGACAGATTGAGAAAGTTCTGCGTTTGAGTGCACGTTCACTCCAAGCTTTCCATCCCTCCGGAGTCGTTGTTTACCCGTTAGAGATGATGTAA